GTGTGATATTAACAATTGGTTCATGCTTTAGCGTGCACTATCGAGTTATGGAGCACGCGGGAAGTTTGGAGAGCACGAAAGAAGCGTAAGAGTTGCCCGAGGCGATAGCCGAGGGCAACTCTAGCTTCTTGAGTGCTCTCCAAACTTCCCACGTGCTCCATAACTCGATAGTGCACAGCTGAAAGCATGAACCAATTGTTTTAGAACATAGCCGGTGGAATTGTGCATCAAATGCGACGCGAAAAACGGACAACAATATCAGTTGAAGCGAATCGTGACGGCGCTGATGCCGAGTCTCCTTTTCCTTTGTTTTTCTCTTTTTCTGCCTCATTTAAGAACTCTAGCCCATGGGAAAAGGTCGAAACATTGTCTTCGTTTTCGGAATAGCAGGCCGAGTTTCTGTTTGTATCCATTATTGTCGCGAAATGTATTATTTTTCCCCGCACTAGCAATGGCCGCTCGCGCGAAAAAAAAATTTTTCTGGCGAAGTCGGATTTGCTGACGCTATCAGCGTGCACTATCGGGATTTTGAGCACGCTTACGTATAATGAATTTGATTGCGCGACTCTGCTAGCTATGTTCTAAACACTTTTAATCCTGTGTCGCATGAATTTTTTTTGGCTAAGGAGGCCGCCTACATAGGCTGGCATTACCGAGACGAATATTTCCAAGTGCCATCGCGGTCAGTCTCTAATGGTTTTATTTTGTGATAAATTTCATTCTGTATCTGGTCAGTGGAATTGGATTATCATCATCAATGTCATGGATCCAAATTGAGTTGAAAGTTCTCTTTCTACTCTTCGCTTCAGACGTAGCAAGCTTCTTTTAGATCTTAATGATTGCTTAAGTTCATGCAAGAATCATGATGGATACTATATTAATCAATGTTTCCTCCTTTCCATCGCGTTTTATTTATTTCTCCAAATAAAGAATTAAGGCTCGAATTCTGGTTTCCTTTACTGAGTATGGTTCCTATGTGACTAATAACCAAGCATTGTAACTGTTATTTTCATCATTTTTTTTTCGGCCATACTATATCATCGAACAAAAGTTCAGGAAAGATGAATTTAGGTTATTCCCTGTATATCTGATCAAATGTAAATGTGACGCCTTAAAAACGTGGGTTAACGTTTTTTTTTTTTATATTTTAGGTGGACTGCCAGGCTCCCGTAAGGGCGGTGAAATAATGCCTGCCGACCGACACGTCTGATCCAACCCGAGGCGGGGCCGTGCAATGCCTACGGGTTGGGTCCACCACAAACGAGGGTCACCAGACGCCAACTTCGCTGGAGAATCGAACCCCCCCCCTCCCCCCTCAAACAAAAACTAACACACCCGCTCCAAAAATTAAACACACTCACTCAACTAGTCATACTTTTTAGTTGTCTTTTTATTTTCGTTTTATTTTCTTTTATGTTTTAGTAATAATAGTAGGACTTAAGCTACTGATTCTTTGGGATGTACCTTAAAACATGGCTAGGAGGGCCAGGGCTCGGGTTAAGAACCCGCACTATTGTCTCGGGAGGAACGTCCACGTAACCGGCTAACCGACGTATAGACAAGCCCTCCGGATTGACGCCAGCGGGCCGAGACAGAGCATCAAGAATCTCACTTTTCTCCGTAAGAATGCACCAGACTCGAGTTCCATGTGACATGCAACATGGCGGGCGGTCACGGTTCCATGTGCTCCAAGGCAATTCTCGTTTTCTTGCTGCTCAGCTTGTGGATTCTCGACTGGCAGAAACATATTCGCGTTCCTAACACTCCTGGAGTTTCCAACCTGTTCAGAAATGGATCCCAGAGGCAAATTTCAACTTACTACTGCTCACTGCCGTGCAAAGCTGACTTCCTCTGGATGAAAGTCAAGAAAATAATATTCTGGTCTCAGGATCAGTCGATATCCAAACTCTACCTCTACTTTCCAAATCAGCTGTTTAACCATCAGTGGCGACATTTGTCCCAATCCTGGACCTCCAAGAAAGCCAAACATTCAAACCGGCGTTGGTTTGAGTGTCCTTTATTTAAACGCAAGAAGTGTCAAAGCTTTCGTCCCGCTCGATGGTAATCGATCATGTAAGATATGCAAATTAACTAATTTACAGCAGTTGGTTTTCCGCTGTTCGTACGATATTGTGTCCATCTGCGAGACCTGGCTCAACAATACAGTACTATCATCTGAAATACTAACTGGGTACAGTATCTATCGTAAAGACAGATCAGGAAAGACTGGAGGTGGAGTGTGCTCACTGCTGTTGGACATGACATCCAGTCTAACCGCCGTTCTGACCTCGAAAGTGATCAAATCGAACTAGTTGCTGTTGAGCTGTTTAAGGATGGCTGTAAACCACTTATCTTTTACACTTTTTATCATCCAGATCCTTGCCCTGATGACCTGACTCTGTTGAACCGCTCTCTTCGACAAAATCCCGAAACGGCCTGCATGGGCGATTTTAATCTTCCATCAATTAAATGGTCGCTAGACGAGTCTATTCCAACTAACCTAGGTGGAACAGCAGAAGAGCAACCTTTTTCCATCCTTATGGAGGATAATTTTTTCCGTCAGTTTATCAAAGGTCCGACGCATATTGCCGGGAACAAACTTGATCTGCTTTTATGTAACCTCTCTGAAGTCATACACCATGTTTCCACTACTACTCCTTCGCAAAATGATTTTCCCTCTGATCATTATTTGGTGGACTTTTTTATTCGACTGAAATTCAAACGATCAAAGCGTGTGCGACGTAAAACGTACAACTACAAAAGAGCAGATTTTGACGATTTGCGAAGTCGTCTACAGCTATTACCCTTTGATCATCGCACTCCGACGATGTTGATATGTACTGGTCTTAGTGGAAAGATTTATTTCTAGCAGCAGTTGCTGAATGTGTCCCAGTAAAGACCATCAGCAACACAAACTCTCCTCCATGGATAGACAGGGAAGTTAAGCTTGCTTTACGTAGAAAGTACCGTGCCCTGAGAAAATATCGTGACTCAGAACCGTGGAACGGAAGTTAAAGTTGAGATCTTTAAGCAATGAAATTAAGAAACTTGTCCGACAAAAACATCGCGATTATCTTCTTAAAATTGAAGGCTTTTTAAAGGATAATCCTGAAGTATTTTGAAGCTACCACAAAGCTATTCTACACTATCGATTGGGCTCGACAACTGAGATCACCTTTGACGGAAAAAAAAGCAAAAACTGCAGCCGAAAAGGCTGAGCTCTTTAACGCTTATTTCTACTCTGTGTTTACATCATTTAAGCAGGACAAAGCGCGTTGTTTGCAATGAGAATGAATATGGAAATTTATGAGATCACACTATCCATCAACGAGGTGAGGGATTGCTGGATCCGTCAAAAGCCATTGGTCCTCATGGAATTCCTGCGCGCATTCTTAAAGAGTGCAGCGAGCAGATCGCGCCAAGCCTTTGTGCTCTATCAATCATTCTCTACGTGTCGGACGGTTTCCGTCAGATTGGAAGTCAGCTGATGTTACTCCAGTTCATTAAAAAGACCTTTTGGAGCCAGCTGAAAATTATTGGCCAATCTCACTACTGCCAATTGTGAGTAAAGTTATGGAACGCTGCGTTTGTAGCAGGCTTTACTCCCATGTTTCGCAGTCAATTATATCTTTACAACACGGATTCATGCGTTCCCGTTCATGCTCTTCGCAACTTTTGCCTGTTCTCCTTTCAATTGGGATTGGGGAGGCACTTGACAAAAACAAACAGACGGATATTTTACACTTTGATTTTGCCAAGGCTTTCGACACTGTTGATCACGTCATTCTTACCGAAAAGTTGAAATGGTACGGTGTCACAGGTCAACTGATAGATTGATTTTCCGACTATTTAAAGGACAGATCACAAAGAGTTGTGTGGCCTCTGAGCGCCTGCAGGTCACTTCCAGTGTACCCCAGGGTAGTCTTGTCGGCCCACTCCTCTTTGTGATATTTATCAATGATCTTCCCGATGCCATCCACGAGCAAACCAGGACCGCCTTGTATGCTAATGATACCAAGCTGTATCGTACTATATTGACAGCCCAGGACTGTGATATTCTCCAGCAGGATCTGACAAGTTTGAACACCCGGAGCCATGAATCAAAATGAATTATGAAGTTTAACGCCCTCAAATGCAAAATATTAACAGTCACACGAAAGAAAACACCTGTGACCCAGAAATATTACCTTGGCAATGTAATCTTACAACGCGTTCAGAAAGAAAATGATCTTGGTGTTACTATATCTAGCACTCTATCGTGGGACTCGCACGTTATGCGCATTGTACTCAAAGCTAATAAATAGAATGCTGGGTCTTTTAAAGAGAACTTGCCCACTTATCACAGACATTAAAGTCAGGCGAATACTTTATCTATCTTTCGTGAAGTCGCAGCTCTCTTATGCGACAGAGGTATGGTCTCCTGCTAATGTCAGTTTGAGAACGATCTTAGAAAGAGTCCAGAGGCGCGCATGCGCAACTCTCTGGATATTAAGAACTAGGTTTGGCGAGATGTCCAATAAACAACGACTGCTGTCTCTTCGATTACTGCCACTAACTTATGACAGGGAACTCAGAGATCTTACCTTTCTCTATAAATGCATTTCTGGACATACTGACTTAAATATTAATGGTAGGTATGTTACTTTTGTCACACATGGCCGATCTCGCTCTAAGAACCCTACTCTCGTACTAAAACCTGCTTACAGTAAAACTGCAACTTTTCAGTCCTCCTTTCTTAATAGAATTGTTCAACCCTGGAACATTATCTGTAATCTCGCCTCTCATGACAATTTTTCGAGTCTAAGTATTTTTAAAAAATTTCTGCGCGCCACTTATTCTACTTTACTGGACACTACTTATAATATTGGCATGCCCTGCAGCTGGTTTCTCTCTCGTAACTGCCCTTGCCATCGTTGTTAATTTTTATCTGACTGATTTTATTTGCACCGTACTGTACACTATCTAAATTTAATCATAGTTAAATTATTTAAATTAAATTTCAGATTTAACCACATGACCACTCTTTTTTTTTTAAACGAAACATTTTTTATCCTATTTTCCGATCAAACTGAAAAAAAGGAAACTGATAAAACTTAGTTCATCGCACATACTGCAGTTACTCTGTTTTTGCTTCAGTGTAGTTGTACTCATCTTAGTTTAGGTTATCACTGAAACTTGAATTGATCCTTATCCAATCTAATTGTATAAAATAATAATAATATATATATATGTGTGTGTGTGTGTGTGTGTGTGTGTGTGTATTGGCACAACACGTGGTTCAAGAAAGTCGTCAAAATAGCGTTAAATGTAAGCGATAAAGCGGCTACGGAATAAAGTTAAGGAGACTTAACATGTAATACTCCTTGCTTTTATTATCCTTTTTACTTTTCAAACTTTTTAATAATTTTTCTTTCTTTTTTTTTCGGGACATGCATACGCTTAAAAAATTCCATCTTGACATGTTAGGTATTCCCTCTAATGATCTTTTAGATCCTGAAATCACGCACAGTACGCTCAGGCTGCTTGTGGTGAAATGCGGGCTTATCACAGTTCTTACTTCACTGTAATTTGGTTATATTAACTAAGTTTAATTTGTAAATTGGCCACCGTAAAGAGTTAAAAAGCTCACGTTTCGGTCGTTAGCCAATTCGTCAGAATGCCATTTGCTCTGACGAAGGGCTAACGCTCGAAACGTCAGCTTTTTAACTCTTTATGGTGGCCAATTTACAAATTAAAATTAGTTGATATAACCAAATTACCTTGTTACCCCCACCGACGCAGACACGCAGTACCATACCACAGTTTCTTTAGAAACTTACTCCCTCTTACTTCCTGGCCGAGTTAGAAGAATGGGCGCTAAAAGGCAAAAAAAACGAGTATTACTGGAGTCTAATGATTTCCAACATGGCGGGTGTTCGCAAGCTGACGAAGCTTTTAAAATCGCAGTTGTTGCATTTTCCAAGAAAATCTCACCCTTTAGGAGCCTCTCGAACTGCTGCATTTCAAATATTTGGTAGATGTGCTTCAACACTGACATTTGTTCCTGATTTTCCTTCACCTCTCTATGGTAAGCTATAGACAAAACCAAAGTCATCAATCAAGCGGAGAACAAGATTTTAGCTCAGCTAGATTTATTTTGTTAAGTTATTTTAACCTATCAGACATTTAAATTTGGATGTATTCATACTAACACCCTATATTTCTTGAAAGCGAAATACCTATCTTAATTAGCGTTGGTCGAATTTAGTCGATACATGCGACACACCTTCCAACACACCCCTATATCGGACAGATCTTCTGCAAGTTTCCATTCTTTTTAGGGGTAGCAATATATAATGCTCTCCTAGACAACGAAATGTTAAATCCAACCTATTTGATGTCCTGGACTTGTAACACTATTATAATGGCGATAACATGCCGTTTGTTGATTAGTCTTACATGCAGCCGTTTCAGATCGATTGGGCCATTCCATTGAGAATCCGCACCCCCCCCCCTATTGAAGGCTTTCCTGTAACACCCCTACAGAAAAGAAGTTTTTTAACCCCCTTCAGAATTGCCTGAAATTACCCCCTTCAGAATTTTATGTAACTATTAAGCAAACCAATTGAACCCCCTTCAGAAACTACTCGTGAGAATTTCTCTCAAGGGTACTTTATGGCGACCCCTCTCAGAAATATGGTTCAACCCCCCCTAAGAAAAAATATAGCATTGAACCCCCCTCCCCCTAAGAAATCCCAGGCCTTCAATAGGGGGGTGCAGATATTAAATGGAATGGCCCATTGGATGTAATTACATGCGAGAAACTGTCGAGGTAGTGGTGTATGTATTTACTGTTTACTTCATCGATGCCTTGTTACAAAATTAGTAGGTGTGGATGTCTTGGTGTCAAATTGAGAGATACAGCATCGGCACTTATCAGCAAAGATTTAACTGTCATGTACATGCATTGGTGCCGTTGTATTCGCAGCTAGACTCAGGGTCCATACTGGTGTGCCCATGACAGAAGAAACACTGAGAACTTCAACCAGGCATTAATAAAAAAGTGTTTCACAATGCAATGCTTGTTATTGTCTCTCATGCCTATGTGCATTTGGATGTAACTGCAAAGAGTAATTAACTCTTTAGACTTGATTCAAATGAGATATAACATTTGTAAGCATTATATATTTGCAGCAGCTCTCATGTCTTGCTGTATAGATGTTCGTGTTCACTAGTGTTGACTGAAACTTTACCAGCTGAAACGAAGGATACTGAGTAAACAGACAAGCACATTACAATAAGCAGAAACAATCAATAACTTTAATGCAGTGGTTGATCAACCTTTATACACATGGTCACAATTATTCTACCACTGAAGTGAGACCTACCACGAATAGTCAAAGGCTAAGGATAGTATTAGATAATATGCTTGAGCATTTGTCACACCTGAGCCTTGAACCACAGTTCTGAATCCTAGAACTCTTGATTGAATTTATGTGTACAGAGTGATTCACCGCCCCAGTAAAATATCTAATCACTCTTTGTTATAAATATTTGTAAGTATATATTGAATTAAACAAATAGCTGATAATTTGGAGGTTCTTATTTCCTTACCACTATTTTTTATACATCCTATTTTTAGGAGAAACTCAAAAAATGAATTTGTTTCAGTCTTTAACAAATGCAATGGATATCATTCTTGATTCAGATCCAACTTCAGGTGAAATAATTTCCTTTTTAATGATTTGAAATATCTGGTTCAAATATTGCTATTGATGAAAATGCACATTTAGCCAAACCTAAAAGCAGAACTTCTTACCTAATATTTTTCCTTGCACCCACCCACTTAATTAGATGGGTTAGAGTTAGAATTGTAAAGAAAACAGACTTTCAATAACATCAAACAAAATGATATGTGTTTTTGATATGTTTGAAGACTAAGTTATAAGAGATGCACATAGTGAAATTTAACATATCATAGATACCAGTAATTTACAGAAGCTGTGATTGAATTTTGTTTTTGTAGTTGTATTTGGAGAGGATGTGGCATTTGGTGGAGTTTTTAGATGTACAGTTGGTCTAAAGGACAAATATGGTGATTAAGTTTATTTTGGTTGAACCTTGACTGTTGAGTCATTTGTCATTTGAACATGTTATCCGATTGGTAAATTTCTTAAATCTGAGCATCTAAAATATTACTCACTGATCAGTGTTATTGAGGAGACTACTGGTTCAGATTTACAATTGAACTTTTCTAACGCACTCATTATTCACTCCATATTTTCCTAGGAAAAGACAGAGTCTTCAATACACCACTCAGTGAACAAGGAATTGTTGGTTTTGGAATTGGAATGGCTGCAGCAGGTGCTACAGCTATAGCTGAGATTCAGTTTGCTGATTATATTTTCCCAGCATTTGATCAGGTGAAAAGAAACTCAGTAGAATTATGTACAAAAGCTTTTTTACCACACACTGCATCTAGGAAATTTAAATCAGAATCTATAAAATTGTTCAAAATTTTGCTCTTTGCTGGTGATAGGAATGGTTGCCAGAAACAAACAATAAGCAAACAATTTCAAATAGTTTGGTGAACAAGTTTAGTAAGTTTTCACACTGTTGGAAGTCATTTGTGGGTGGAAACATTTTAAGGACTTTGAGAGACCATTTACATATTATACCACTAACAGATCATGAATTGTTATCCTGAATTATATTTTTATCCTTAATTGCAAGATAAATGAATAATCATTGACTTCACTGGTATTCAGTTTAGAAAATGTTATATGTAATGACATCTAATTTATTTAAATGTACTGCCTTAAGTTTCAGTGAGTTGTTCTTAAATTATTTTAGCTAGTGAATGAAGCTGCAAAGTTCAGGTATCGATCAGGAAATCTTTTCAACTGTGGAAGCCTAACTGTACGAGCACCATGTGGAGCAGTTGGCCATGGGGCTCATTATCATTCACAGTCTGTGGAAAGTTTCTTTGCTCATGTTCCAGGATTAAAGGTGAACAAAACTTCAATTAAAAGCAGTGGCCATGAATGAGATGATTTCTGGTTAACAGGTCATGCTGTGAAATTTAAGTTAGACGATACATGGTGAACCCTAACCATCAACCTAAAATGTAACTTGTATCAAGAGTCAGTAACTAATAATATTCTATTTACCTTTTTTCAGGTTGTCGTACCAAGGGGGCCAATACAAGCAAAAGGACTCCTTCTCTCTTCTATCAGAGACAAAAATCCAGTCATATTTTTTGAACCTAAGATCTTGTACAGACAGGCAGTTGAAGAAGTGCCTGTGGGAGACTATGAAATCCCACTCTCTGAGGCAGAAATTCTAGAAGAAGGTATGTTAAATCTACACAAATGAAGTGATTTTAGACATATTGTTGCATCACAGGTTGTTGTTTTTTGTTTGAAGGTTCGGATGTGACAGTAGTAGGGTGGGGCACACAGATCCATGTCTTGCGAGATGTCTGTAAAATGGCAAAAGATCAGCTTGGAGTGAGTTGTGAACTTATTGATCTCAGGACAATTCTTCCTTGGGATGAAGACACTGTCCTTAAGGTAATTTTGTTTATCTTCATGATATAACTGTTAATGTGTAGTTTGATCTTAGTCACATGCTGGTTGAAAGAGGGAAGTGTTAAAAATGAATGTAATTATAATAAAAGTTATAATGAGAGTATTAAATTAGCAAGGGAGACTTTATTTCAGCATACATTGTCTCTGTAAATTGTAGCTGTGTTGTGAAAAAGAAATCAACATTTGACATAAATTAAGCTTAGCACAGTTGTAAAGTAATAATAATAATAATAATAATAATAATAATAATATAACAATAATTTAATATTTATATTGCGCAAATCAACATGTGGATATGATCAAATGCGCATCACAACACTTTTCGGGGGACTTTGGCCGGACTGCATCAGCAGTTTACAAACAATCGAGGGAAACTTATTTGAAGATGCCCCCTCCCCCCCAATTCCCAGTAAACAGGCCAGACCACATCACAGTGATCTTGTGAGTGGGTTCTTTAATGTCCCCTGCGTAACCAAATTAACTAATTAATAGATGCAGGAGACGGGACCTACGGTTTATTC